CTCCTGTCTGAGGTAGCAACTTCAGCAGTAATCTTACTGTATCACTCTCCGCTCTGTAAGACTGGCTAAATGATCTGCTATAGACTGTTTACACAAGTAAAAGTAGTCAGCAAAAAATCGATCAGTCTCTGGTGGATGATGTCATGAGTCGAGTTTTTCTATGTAAGATACCTCGGTTAATAATCAACGTAGAAATTTGCTGTTTGGCCAGATCTTATCATTTTTAGTTGATCTGCAAGAATGAAGTATCATAATACGATTCTGAGACCAGCACAACTGACTTATTCTTCCACTCTTCTGTTTTATTTCCATTGTTGCAAAGTCTACATTTTTTGCTATTACCTGTTTACTCTGCTCTCTAGAGGTGTCGTCAGCTAAGTTGGCACTTGTTTACATTCCACTTGCAAGCAATTGCTATGCAATTGTCGAGCAGCAATAGAAGATTGACAGCAGTCCGATAGTGAGCTTTGTCAATCATCGATTCCTGATGGACGACTACATTTTAGTTGCTTGCGAACGATATGTATTCAAGTGCCAACGTAGCTGACGACACTTCTACCTCAAGTTAGCAGCATTGCTTCTGATAGTTTTATACAAGTTTGTCCTACCTCTTGAGGGCACAAAGTTATTTGACCAATTTTATCTACTCTCCACCGTCAACCTTCTCTGGTATTCAATTGTGCGATACTCAAGAATATATATTTTCAGTTTACACTGTATTCTCCGTTTTTATTTGAAGAGAGTGGGTATGTTTTCAAAACCATTCATTTCTCTAAGTTCCATGAACAACAATGCTTACTTGCCAAGTCACATTTTTATGTCTTCGATGGTATTTTGCTCTAAGGAGTCAACGTCTCAAAATGGCAGCAGCTAGGGGAACATTAACTGATGCCTTATCCAACGTTGACGCCTTAGGTGAGCTTACATTACCTGATGAACTACCGCTTATCGAAGCTTAGCCATGCTCTCTCATTTATCAAGCTAACTTTGATACCAACTTCGAAGACCGGAATGGGTTCGTCACTGGCATAGCAAAGTACATTGAAGAAGCCACTGTTCACGCCAGTTTAGGAAGTTTCACATTCCTGCTACTTGACCACCCTTAATCTGTTTAATTGAATGGATGATAAATGATAATTTATGATTTTTTGAAAAATCTTGCTTTTTCAAAATAAATTTGAGAAAAATGAGAGGAAATCATAAGTTTTTAGCAGTGAATGAATAATATCAAGAACTACTGATAACATGCTTCAATCGGTACTCAGAAAAAATGATATGAATCTTTCACTCTTACCTAAATCATTACAGAGCTACGGCAGGATTAGAAACATCATATCCAAAAAGTTAGTTCTATGCAAGTGTTTTCAACTTGAAGCAGACATTTTGAAAATAGGTAGAGGCATCTATTTTAGAAAAAAGTCAGATATTCATATATGTCTTTGATGGACGGTCATTTGAACCTTGATGTCAATTTTAAAGATTTAAAACTATCCAAGGAATCCGTTGCAGATCGACCTTTAAATGTAAATGTACCCATTTTTGAACCTTAATGGTATATGCACTGAAAACAGTCAATAGGTTTTTTCATTGAGGCTTAATCGACACCGGTTTTGGTCATTTTAAAAATTCAGAGCTTTGCCATGTTGTGAATTTGAATTTGTCAATCTACTAATCCTGTAAAATATCCATTTGTAATGCTTCAGAATGAACTGTTGGAAGATGGCTTGGAACATGCGGTCATGCTGTACACGTGGCGATGTTGCTCTGGAGCCATACCGCAATCAAAGTTCAATGAGCAGCCGAACTGGGTGGAAATCTATGAAAAGACTGTTGAAGTATTAGGTCCTGAAGTGAACAAGCTGCTTAATATCATGTATTTTCAGGTGAGCATTCTAATTTTGTTAGTTTTCGACATTCAGTATGCAATTGAAGTGGTGTATTACGGGTGCCACACACGGGAGGGATGAGGCGCCCAAAAGTGAGGCTCTGCTGCGCGCGCACGTCGCATGGGACGCACGTGTGTTTGTGTTGTGAAACCCAGATCTGGGATCTGGTCCATTCATCCCGTCGCGATCCCTACCCCAGCACGGAATTCTAGTACGGTTCTTTGTATTCTTTTCTTGTTTTTATTCAACATTGACCTAATGTTTTACTGTTCCTGATAGACTTTAATGTTAATTTTTGGTCACCTTTTTCTGTTTCCTCTTTAAAAAAATACATGAAAACAAAAAAGATACAGTTTTTAATCAATTCCTATTTCCTTTTTCCCCTCATAACAACGGTAGCTTTTATTCATTGGATTTATGTCTACTTTTTTAGAGTAAAATAATGTC